AAGTCACTGAGCAAGAAAGTCGGGGCAAGTTAGAATGGAGTCTGCAGTTGTGTGGGGGGTGGTGGGGGGTGGAAGGGCCTCTGGTGACTTCACAGGTGTCTGTAGGCAGGCAGGATTACAAAAACACCCTAAACTTGAGGGCAGCCAGTCACTTTTGGTGGCTTATTTGCAAGGCTGTGGAGCAGAGCCTCTTTTCACTGCATTCCACTCATGGCAGATCCACATATGCGTGATTGCTACCTGATGACTGTACTATCAAGTGATGACTTGATGATACCGATCTAAAGAAGAGTAAAGAAGAACTTCCAGATCCCTTTGCATCACCTTGGCCCCTGTTAGATCCCAAGCATTCAAAATAAATCCACGTTTAAAAAAGAAGAACTTCCAGATCCCTTTGCATCACCTTGGCCCCAGTGCTGTTCAGTGGAGGCCATTCACACATTCAGTGTGTGTGGAGGGATCAGGAGTAACTGGCGGGTTAACCCTCTACAGAGTGACTCTGGTCTAAGCCCTCTGAAATCCATGTCAGGCATGAGCCTGGCCTGAGATTGTTGGTAAGACTTGGATAGGGCTTTTCAGTGGGACGTGTACAAAATTTATATAGGAGTGCAATGGATTTAGGTTGGTAAAACAAAGGAGTCCAGGGTAAAGTGGCAAGAAAGCGGAAGCTGCAAAGTATATTCATTCACCTCCCCCTCCCACCAAATGGTAACCCTCTTCATTTGCATGCCCGCTAGTGAGTGTACTAATGTATTCTATGGCAAGCGAGCATCTTGTGAAAAATGTCTGTGGTGACTGTATGCTTCCCTTTCCGCTTCACATGGTGCTCAAACACATATGTGCAGTTTTTCCAAACCAGGTGTTTTAAGACAGGTGTGCCTGTTTGAAAATTGGGAATGTGAAGTAATCGCTGCTGTTTGCACATCTCTTGTGGCCAGGCTAGCCCAGATGCTTTCAGCTAGAAAATATCATTGGAGGGCAGAGATGTACAGCGTGACCTAATTGTACGTGTCAGCAAAGCCAGACTCCAACAATTGTCCTTCCCTTTCAAATACACATTTTGCTTTTCAGAGCTGCCTCGTTGTTAGAAGAACAGATTTCCTTCTAGAAAGAAACATGGTGTGGAGGTTTTTTTAAAAACATGCATTGTAAGACAAGTGCTTGGATGCTCCAAATTCACATCTAGTGATTTCTCACTGTGCAGGTCAACACTGATGATGCCTGCCACCCAGTGCTGAGTTAGCAGGAGTTCCGAAATCTATAGATGCCTAAAGCTGTTGGAAGCTCATCATCATTATTATTATTGAATCAAAAACTTTGAGCATTTGCATAGTGCTTCTTGAACGTTCAGAGTAGCTCGCTCATGTTGCTTCAAGGCCTTTGTGGGATGGAACCCCTGCAGCATGATTCCTTTTATATGTTGCTGAGTGAGTGATGGGTTACCAACTTGGGTATTTTTGATGATGCATTGCTCAGTTTTGGGGAAGGGAGACCCTGGTGTGAATTTGGGCTTCTGATGGTGGAATTTCAATTTTCAATTTCATAGAGTGCCCACAAGTTCTTGTATTGTGAGAAGGAAGAAAAGTACTTCGATCCCATGCATAATCTTGTAAACCTTGATCATGTCACCCCTCAGTCGTCATTTCTCCAAGCTAAAGAGCCCCAAGTGCTTTAACCTTTCTTCATAGGGAAAGTTTTCCAACCCTTTTATCATTCTAGTTGCCCTCTTCTGCATTTTTTCCGATGCTATAATATCCTTTTCGAGGAGTGGTGACCAGAACTGTACACAGTACTCTAAATGAGGTCACACCATTGATTTATACAGGGGCATTATGATACTGGCTGATTTGTTTTCAATTCCCTTCCTAATAATCCCCAGTATAGCTTTCACCTTTTTTATTGCAGTCGCACACTGTCTCAACATTTTCAGTGAGTTATCTACTACGACTCCAAGATATCTCTCTCTTGGTCAGTCTCTGCCAGTTCGGATCCCATCAATGTGTATTTATTGTTAGGATTTTTGGCCCCAATGTGCATCACTTTCCACTTGGCCACATCGAACCCCATTTGCCACACTGATACTCACTCACCCATCCTCGACAGATCCCTTTGGAGTGCCTCACAATCCTCCCTGGTTTTCACCACCCTGAACAAATTTCATGTCCTCTGCAAATTTAGCCACTTCACTCCCAGCTCCAAATCATTAATGAACAAGAGGAGTAAGAGATTGAAACCAACACTGTGGTAGCAAGTGCCACTGAAACAGTATTGGTTTATTCTGCCAAGCCAATCAGAAGTTCTGCTAGATAACTACCCCACCTGGCCCCACCCATTTTCTAAAAACACTTGGTGGGCACCAGGAAAGGTGCTGGTGGGTGTCCCTAGTGCCCATGGGAACACGGTATTTGATTTATTATGTGAGCCAGCCCCTAAGCTTCCAGTTTGGTGCAGTGGGAGAGCCAGTTTGGTGCAGTGGTTAAGTGTGCAGCCTCTAATCTGGGAAAACCAGGTTTGATTCCCCACTCCTCCACTTGCAGCTGCTGGATGACCTTGGGCAAGCCATAGCTCTGACAAGAGCTGTCCTTGAAAGGGCAGTTCTGGAAAGAGCTCTCTCAGTCCCACCTACCTCACAGGGTGTCTGTTGTGGGGGGGGAGGGAGGGAAAGGAGTTTGTAAGCCACTCTGAGACTCCAAGTGAAGGGTGGGGTATAAATCCAATCTCCTCCCCTTCTCCTCCTTCCTGGGGGAAATTATTACTTGGTGTTACATTCAAGTTAAGCCTTCATCTATTATGTGTTTGGGGGTGTTTCTAAACAGAATGAAGAATCTTGATGGCAGTCTTTATTTGTAGGTCGAACTTTAAGCTTTTGGCCGTCGGAGGAAAGCTGTATGCCATCGGTGGGCAGTCCCTCTCTAATGTGGAGTGTTACAACCCCGAGCATGACTGGTGGAACTTTGTGGCATCTTTGCCCAGCCCCCTTGCTGAATTCTCGGCATGTGAGTGCAAAGGCAAGATTTACGTCATGGGAGGCTACACTACAAGAGGTGAGGCACGTCTTTCGGTGGTTCTGCTGTCGCACGTGTTATTGAGTCTCGTATTTGCAAAGGGGAAGTCGATTAGGAAGAGTGGGAGGAGGGAAAATGCAAAAAGGGAAAACTAACAAATGCATGCAAAAGTTGTAGGTGCCTGTATTGATACCTTAAAAATCACAAATAGTAATGTAGTATTTATCTTTTGTTAGAACCACTTAAAGCATCATAAAAGGGAGAACAAGCTTTACAAGCTTCTGGAGAATTTGTGGTGTTGGGTCTAATACAGGATACTAAAAGATACGCATCTTAAATAAATTAATTGAAGATACAGGGTTGGAGCCAAACAGCTTTATCACTCAGGATTGCCCACTTCTCCTTCTTACAATAGCCCTCATTCCAAATGGGTTTTGCCCTGTGCAGGTCTCATGATTCCCAGCATAGCAAAGCCAGTGTCACGTACATTGTGGTTGGGGAGCTGGACTAGTATTTAGGAGACCCAGGTTCAAATCCCCAGTCTGCTATGGAAGCTGGCTGGGTGACCTTGGGCTAGTCACATACTCTCAGCCTAACTTACCTCACAGGGTTGTCATGATATATGAACCCACTGCCCTCCCACCTCGGGACTGTGTGCTGAAACCACAACCATTCTAGGTTCCAGAGGCAGTTTGCCTTAATTACTAAGGCTCCCTCCTCTTCCAGTGGTTTGTCTCTCCAGTCCTGGGTTCGGTTTTGTGGGAGAGAAAAAAGGCCCACACAAGCAACACTGTCCTCACTTTAGCCTTAGAAAAGATAGCAAATTTCTTTAGAGACAAGCTAAAACAGAAAGCAAAAGGAATACCTTCTGTTGCAACAAAAACAAGTCATATAAGCAACTGCAAAAAACTCCTACCCTTTGACTATCTAACCGGCGTTCTGACCAAACGAAGCATTCCAATTAGCTCACAGAGTTCAAATTCAAGCCGTGCTGTAAAACAATGTTCTGAGAAGAAAAGACAGAGGATTCTTCAAAAAACAGTAGTCAAGAGTAAGAGAAAATGAGGGCTGTCAACTGTGAGGGAATTGCCATTTTTCAGCCTCCCCAGCATGTTAGGCAACCAGCTGTTTGCAGCAGTAACTACTAGGGAGGATACACCAAGCCTACATGAGATTGCTCTCAAGGTCAGAACTACAGACAGTTTGTAGATGTTAGATTAACATTCATTTAAAAGGCCTAAACAATGTACAGTTCTGAGTTTCAAACATCTAAGGGGACCGCACTTTAATGTCATGTAGTGCTTCCATACACATGAGGATAAAATGGATGAGAGAAAAATGATGTGTGCCCCTTTAGGTCTCCTTTGGGGAGAGAAATGGGGTATAAATGTAGTACATTAATTTGTTGGTCAAAGGCCCTGGTTCTTCTTTTTGCCAGCAGAAATTTTTGCCAGCAGAAAAGCTGGCCCGATATGTAGAAAAATCTTAGCAGTACCCAAATCATGCATGCAGTGGATAGAAATAATGTACACATCCATTAAAGTATGCTGTATAAACAATCCAGCACATCATAGAAAATACAAACCATACAAAAAGCAAGAGAGCTTAGAGTTACCTTGATTGATCTGAGATGGTATGCTTTTCCATCCAATAGAAATGACATTTCCATGATGACATCAACTGTGCATGCAGTTTAAGTATCACATGCCAATGTATATGATGCACTATGAGCGCCAGAAATCACTGTGTAAATATATTGCCCATATGTACTATACTAATTAACATCTGGGGCAGTGATGCTCTGTATTCTTGGTGCTTAGGGGGCGACAGTGGGAGGGCTTCTGGAGTTCTGGCCCCACTGGTGGACCTCCTGATGGCATTTGGGTTCTGGCCACTGTGTGACACAGAGTGTTGGACTGGATGGGCCATTGGCCTGATCCAACATGGCTTCTTTTATGTCTTTACGTGCTTAGTACTTTCAGTGTACAAGGAAATTGAGTGGTTTTTTTTCCATTAAACTCTTTTTTGTTCTAGATCGAAACTTGAACATCTTGCAGTACTGTCCTACCTTAGACAGCTGGACGAACTTTGAGTTGTGTGACATCCACATCCGCAAGCAGCAAATGCTGTCCGTTGAGGAAACAATCTACATAGTTGGAGGCTGTATCCACGAACTGGGATCCAACCAAAAACCTGGCCAGAATGAGGACATGTTGACAGTGCAGTCCTATAATACAGCCACCAGGGAATGGCTCTACCTCAAAGAGAACACATCAAAATCTGGTCTTAATTTGACTTGTACTCTGCATAACGACGGGATCTATATCCTGAGCAGAGATCTCACTCTCTCTACCAGCTTGGAGCACCGAGTCTTCTTGAAGTACAATATATTTTCAGACAGCTGGGAATCACTTAGGCACTTCCCAACCTTTGGACAAAATATATTGGTCTGTTCTATGTACTTGCCAAATATTATTTGAATGTAAACAACAGTAATTTTCCCCTTCATAAATTTGATTTGCCATTGAATAAGAGATTTCTTAATTTATGTGTCGTCATATACAAAGAGAGCACAGGTTGAAGGCTATTAGACTTTTTAATAATAATACTTCAGCAATATAGTCCCACCAGACTTCGTAGTGCTATGCATAGTAACTTGTGAGGAACTTCGTTCCTTGAGTTCCTTGAGGAACTTAGTTGCAGTTGTTGCCAATAGGAAATACTACAGAGGGAGGGGATGAATATGCGCAAGTGAAGCTGCAGGTACTCAGACGGTCTTTATTGTGGCTCACAGGCCATTCAGAAGAGGTGTAAAACATAAAAACAGTAATTGAAAAAAATTAACTACATAAAACTTCTCTATACATCACTTATATTAAGATACCTACAGTTAAAAAGGTTAGAATCTGAGTCAATTATGCACTGGACATTATCTTCACTCGTATTTTCACTTGCAGAGCATAGAAACTTCTCCACAGAAACAGCAAATTTTTGGTCAACCCCTGCCAATAAGATTGTTAAAGTTTTCTGCTCAGAGAACATTTTCTTTTCAGCCAAGAGAGGTTCCATTAAGTTTGCCGGTACTCCAGGTTTGCTTCACTTAGCTGAGAGCCAGTTTGGTGTGGTGGTTAAATGGTGGACTCTAATCTGGAGAACCGGGTTTGATTCCCCACTTCTCCACATGCAGCCAGTTCTCTCAAAGCTGTTCTCTCAATAGCAGTTCTCTTAGAGGTCTCTCAGCCCCACCTACCTCACAGGGTGTCTGTTGTGGGGAGAGGAAGGGAAGGAAATTGTAAGCCACTCTGAGACTCTGAGTGAAGGGCGGGGTATAAACCCAACTCTTCTGAGGGCCAAAGGCTTCATCCGCAAGACTTTTTACCTTGATAGAAGAGGAAGGAGAGGTACCACTCAAGTGTTTGGGGAGGGCTTCTAGACACAGGGATGAGAAGAGGGGATAGCAGAGCAGGAGATTTTAGGATGGTTGAAAGTGGGAGGAATTAAGCTGGGGGCAAGCTGAAGCATAATTGGGGGGAGGGGGGATCCTGAGGAGACCAACTGAAGGTAAGGGCTTGTGTTGTCATCAGACAGGAAATCAGGGAAGGGATTTGAGGAGGGAGCAGTGCACAGTCTGAACAGCCTGAGGGGTGCATAATCTTTGCTACAGATTAGAGGATCAATTTATGAGAGGAGAAAGCCATGGAGCTGTTGCCAGAGCATCTTGTTTGGTCCGAGATGGACAAGAAGTTCTCAGGGCACAGAGAAGCAGCCACTCAGCTGTGTTGCTGCAGGTGAAATATTGCTGAAATCTCCTTCTTGGGGATGAGGGCATACGCTTCCCTGCCCTTATAACATTGCTTCCTTTGTTCAGCTCCACTGGGAGATTAGACAGACCTTTCCATGCAACCTATGGTAGTTGCATTCCCAAAACACACCGTTGTTGCAGAGAACCCCTTAGAATTAAGTTGAATAAGGACCATTAGCGGAATTCTTTTTAAACCCACAGGGAAAGTGTCTTCAATAACATTTCCCCTGACGATTTAAAGAGAATTCTGCTAAGGATGCTTGTTTAACTTAATTCTGAGAGGTTCTCTGTGACATTTGTGTATCAGGAAGGAGTAGAAAGCCCCCCTCCTCCCATGGCTTCCATCACTGCTGGCACTTTTCTTGTCTTCTGAGTTCCAGTAGGGGAAGGGAAGTCAGCTGGGGGAAAGGCATGGGGGAGGGTGGGAGAGGCTGTAAGGAAGTAATTAGCAGGCACAGGAAGGATTCAGCTTTATCTGAGACACTGGAGTGTCACTACCAGTCGGAGCTGCCAGGACTGACTTTGATAAAGCATCTTCTTCCAAAATATCTCTCTACTGTAGACACTTTCCTAGCACCTCAGGAAGGAAACAGGTGTCCAGGGTACTCTTTGATGGTCCCTCTTTGGAGACTTTTGCACTTCAAATTTTCCTCAGAATGTAAGGGAAGAGTCCTTCCAGCTCAGCCAGTTCTTCACTCTTCTGAAACAACAGAGCTCGGTCCCCATGTCTTGTTTACATAACTCTTGCTCCTTGCCTCAGGGTCTCCAGACATTTTCCCATAAAACATCACTAAGCTTGACACAAGAGCAACAGACTTGTTCTGCTCCAGGTGTGTGTGTGGAGGGTCAATATTTGAGAGCAAAAGGGGCCTACAGGGGTGTTGAGTTCTTCTCAGTGAAGTGCTTATGAATGACGCTTATCCTTTGCCTTTCACCAAAATACACTATGTGGGTCTCCAAAACCAATGACGTTCAAGAGGTACGGATGAAATTAGAATCAGGTCATCTGTTTCAATGTGGGGAAAACCACTGACTCAGGATCTAAGACTTCTAAAGAGCTGTAATTTTATGTAACCATACTAAGCAGTCGAACAAAGTCCGAGTCCAGTGGCACCTTTAAGACCAACAGACTTTTATTCAAGGCATGAGCTTTTGTGTTCATGCACACTTTTCAGACACAACGAAATGGAAGTTAACAGTCCATACATATAGGCAGAGGATGAACAACAAATTAGCATGCAACATAATGAAGATGTTTTAACAGATACAAAAACCAAACAGGAATAGCAAGCTAAGTTTATATGGTCACCATTTTTTTGGCTTTAATTACAAGGGGAAACACAGTGAAGCAAATAAATATGTCAGAATAGGAGGCTGATGTGTAAATGTATCCTTAATTGCAGAATGCTAAGAATAATTAATTAACAGAGACCATTTAGTTATGCTCTATTTGTCTCAAGCATGAAGCAAGATACATTTAGACATCAGACAGCACGTAGGGTAACCAACAGTGAGTGGTAAATTTCTACTTATTTTCACCTGCTAATTTTTCATTCACTACTGTGTTCTTACGGAAGTGGTCACAGAGCCCAACAATGTTAGGATATTCCCTCTTGGAAAATCTCACTTAGTTTGACTGGATGCAGAGAGTACTCCATCTTTATGTGTTATACCTCTGAGAATGCCAGTCACAGCTACTGGCGAAACGTCAGGTTCTACAGTGCCAAGACCACGGCCACACAACCCAGAAAATCTACAGCAATCTATGAGTATGACTCCGTCTTCTTTCTAAGATTGCTGCTGAAGGCAGCTTCTAATGTGACAAGGAACAATTTAAACACAAGAATTGCATTAAAAAAAAAAATTCTCCCAGTGGGGTTTGTGATGGCCCCACATCCTCTTCTTCATTGTGGCCACGCTGCTGGAAGACATGGAGGGGGGAAAGTTATCAAGAGTCCACACCAGCCCCCAGATGGCCCTAGTCTTATGGGCAAGGTGCAAAATGGGGCCACAACCACAGAAGAGAAATACTAGAGATGCAAGAACTTTAAAACCATTGGGGCACCCCTAAGGGATGGCCTTAGAAGTGAGTCCCTTCTGCAGTGGAATAGTTGAGGCAGAACGAAAGGGCGGGTCTGGAACCAGTGTTTTAAAATGAGGCTGTCAAAAAGAGGCACGAGAGGTTCAGGGCTTCAGAAAAGGAAATTTTGTGAAGGAAAATTCACAAAATCCTGCTCTTAAACAGAGAGATCTTCAAGAACGTCCTTGATGTCGCTAATTTACTGCTGTTAACGCCATTAGCTTACCTTCCTGGCCAAGGCCTCCTTCCTCAGCCTGCCCTGGAAAAGGAGGTGTTCTTCTGTTGGGAAGTCGGGTTGCTAATCCTGACTGAAACTATTCCTACATTCCCCCCTCCCCCCATTTAGTGTAATGTTGGAAATTCCTGCAGTGTATGATCCAGAAAGACCGCTTTTTTCAGTAGTCACTTGGAGTCTCCAGGCCCAGGCAACCATACTGTGAAGGGTAAAGGAGAGATGGAGAAGAAGACCTGGACAGAGCGGGAAGGACTGAAGAAGCTACCCCCTGGGAGGGAAGAAGAATGAAGAAGGTACAGCCGGTAAGGTTTCACCGGGATCCCAAAACTGAATCAGGAAGAGAGCACTGAGAGAAAAACAGCACTGGGCAGGGAGTTTGTTCTTGATCTTTTCCACAGACATTGGCGGGAAAGCTTGAGAGATGCTGCAAGGCCTGTTACGCTGCTAAGTTTTGCAATCTTGCACAAGTCGCACAATTTGGCAGTATTGCAGAGCTGCCCAGGGGGTGCCAAAGTAGAGTCGCCAGCCTCCAGGTGGGGCCTGGGGATCCCCTGGAATTACAGCATCTCTCCAGGCTACACAGATCAGTCCCCCTGGAGAAAGTGGATTTTTTTGGCACCCCACCCCACTGAGCTCTCTGTCCTCTCCAGGCCAACATTTCTAGGAGTTTTCCAACCTGGTTCTGGACTGGCAACCCTACCCCCCGTCCCCCACCGGTAGCCCTAGTTGCCAGACTCTCCTGGTGGAGGTGGGGGTCCCCCACGGCCAGGCCCTGCCCACCTGCATCCCAGCTGGTGGGATCCTTACCCGGAGAAGGAGAAAGGCTCAGGCCACATCACCAGTGTTGCACAGGAAGTCACATCATCACTCCAGCAACATCTGGGCGAGGGACCTGGCAACCCTATGCCAAAGACACTCTTCTTCACCCAGGGTACTATTTACGTGCCCTTGGAGAACTGCTAGAGAGGCACCACCCTGTAAATGCCCTTGGATCAGCTTTCAAGGTCTGCCTGTGCCTGCTGGTTGTTAATATTCACCCCTCAGATCATAAGGATCTAAGTGACAGCAGGCAAGCTGCTGATAACAAGTCCTGACCGGTTCAGACCAGATAAGGAATGAGGTCAGTAATCATGACTCAGCATGAAGCTGATTGGACACTCAATGTATATATGTGGACATGTACGTGCTCTGTATCCCCTTCTCTTTGGATATGGTGTTTGGCGGAGCAGTTTGTCAGTGGAGTGTATATATCGTAAATATATCTGTATATAGTTTACCACAGGACTGTATTGGTGTGGTGCTATATAGAACCTCCTCTGCAGTGAATGCTGGTGAGTGCTGGAGTGGCTGGAAAAGTCCTAGTGGCTGGTGGTGCTGGAAAG